CAGGTGCGAATAATTGACGCACAATACCCTCATTGACCATATGAGCCTTGAACTCCCCCAAGAGGTATTCACCTCCTCGATCAAATCGAAGTGTTTTGATAAGTTTACCTAATCTACGTTCCACTTCCGCCTGAAACTCATGGAATTTTCCATAAGCTTCTGACTTCTGTCGCATTAGGTAAATATATCTAAAACGTGAATAATCATCAATGAAAGTGATGAAGTACTCAAACCCTCCTCTCGGTTGGGTGTTCATAGGACCACACACGTGTGTGTGCACCAACTCTAATTGTTCTTTGGCTCTATATCCTTTGGCTGAGTAAGCCCTTCGAGTCATCTTTCCTTCAATACAGGATTCACAAGTTGGCATAGGCTCCTCTGTCTCACAAGGTAATAAACTTTCTTTAACCAACCTTTGAATCCTATTTTGATTTATGTGACCCAATCGTAGATGCCAATGATACAATGAGTTTGGAGAAACTGTTTTTCTTTTAACATTCAATCTAGATGAAGTTGCATTTAATTCATAATTTTGCATTTGATATGAGTTAGGAGTTAAAACATATAGATTATCTTTCAATGCACCAGAAGTTATAACACAACCATTTAACTTAATTAAAACATTTTTTCTAAAAGTAAAAATATAGTTTTTGCAAACCAACGAAGAAACTGAAATTAAATTGCGCCTAACATTTGGCGCATAAAGACAATCTTCTAAAATAAGACTCCTCCCACTATCAAACTACATATGAACCACTCCCACTGCTTTAGCTTCCACCTTGGCATTAGATCCCATATACAAGTATATCTCTCCTTCATTGAGGCTTCTAGACTCCTGGAATCCCTACAATGAATTGCAAACATAATTAGTGGCTCCAGAATCTATGCACCAGGAATCTATAGATACAACCACATTAAATGCCTCAACAATGAATATACATTTTCCTTTGCCTTGCGTGCGAAGTGTTGGGCAGTTAGGTTTCCAGTGACCCGGTTAACCACAATGGAAGCAGTTTCCTTCGCCTTCAACCCGCACTTTCTTCTTCCCTTTATCCTTTTTGATCACTTTGTTTGGCACAAGCACAGTTTGGGCACCATCTTTCGTCTTTTTCTTGCCCCTCCTCTTGGGCCTAGAAATGGATGGTCCAGCAGACTGAGTGTAGTTAATAAATGCACCCTTACTTTTGATTATCCCTTCAAAGGTTACCAACTCATTCAGAAGTTCAGCGAGTGAGTACTCAAGCTTATTCATAGAATTATTACCCTAAAAGAGTTAAATGAGTCTGGCAATGAAGCGATAATCATGTCAACCTGAAGTTCACCATCCAAGTTGCATCCAAAAATCTCAAGTTCATTTAGAAAACCAATCATTTTTAAAGCATGTTCCTGAACTGGAGTACCTTGGACTATCTTGGTTGTCATCAAGTTTGTCATAGCAGTTTGGCGTGCACTCGTATCAACTTGCCCAAACATTTCCTTGAGGTTAAGCATGATGTCTGCAGAAGTGAGATAATGAAGATGTTGACTTTGGAGTACATTTGAAAGTGAAGCAAGAATGTAGCACCTAGTCATCTCATCTGCTTTATTTCATTTCTTAAAAACTTCATGCTCCTCAGAAGGATTCTCAGGCAAAGGTGGAGAAGGTCGGGGAGTAGTAAACACATAACTAAACCCCTCATATGTGAGTACAATATCTAATTGCATTTTCCAATCGATATAATTAGGTCCAGTTAATCGATTTTCTTTTAGTATGTTTGCAAGTGGACTGAATGGACTAGTCATGATAAATCTGAAAATAAAAGCATTCATACAATAAATAAAGTGAATAAATATAATCATGCAAGAATAAAATAATTAATTAATTGTGGGTTCCTTAATCACATAGCATGAAAAATCGAACAATCAATATGCCAATAACTTATCCGGTTGGCGGAATTCATTATTACTTATTGACGAGAACAACTCATTATTTCCATATCTCTTTAGACAATGCCTTATCTATATATGAAATAATTCCCGATTAAGTTTAGCCTTTCTAAAATCACCTAATATATACCACTCCGTTAGGGAGTTAATACTATTGATTTTAGATTTAGTGTATAACGTAATTAATACTCCAACGAAAAATCAAATATTAAATATATTGTCATTATTAGCTTAGACTCTTTAAATCATGCGTAGGGTCTTATTTTTAAAGATCTAACTATAATGGTCATTTAATAAATATATTTTCGTGCGACAACCATTCTTGTAATCTTGACTCTTTAAATCATGCGTGGTGCCTTATTTTTAAAGATCTAATCACAATGGTTATAATTACGAAGACCATGGGGTAATGTATAAAAATCCCCACTCCCACCCAATTTTAATTATTTATAACCGGGGTTTTTTATTCATGATTTAATGCATGCAAAACGCTTTGATTTTAATCCAATTAAATTTAGAAAATATATGGATTTTAAATAATTCACTAATATTTAATTTGAGACATTCTGTTAAAATAAATTTACAAAAATAATTTTTCATTTTCCAATAAATGCCCTCAAATTAATTAGCAATCAAATCCAATTTATCTTCATAATTTAATTAATATAAATCAAATCATTTAGATAAAAAATCATGGATCCAATGCATGAACAATTATAATCAGTATTGAATTATTCCATGCATCACATAAATAATTAAACAACAGACAGAAGCAATTTAAATAGCCAATGGATTCAGCTTTTAACATTTAAACACTATTCTTGTTGTACGGGTGTCCTTCAACAGTCTGTAAACACCTATAGAAAACTGGTACGCGTTATAAGAAGCAAAATGCTACTTGGAACGCGCCTGGAGAGCCCCACACTCGCTCACACGCGCCTGGGGCATGCAGAAAGGCAAGGCACGTGCCCCCACGCGCTGGCACGCGCCTAGGGCGCGTTGTGGCGCGTGAAACGCCCCTAGAAGCACCTGCATGCGCGTGGAGAGCTTATGCTTTGTGCTCACGTGCCAAGCTCACCCCAACTGAGATGCACTTGATTGCTGCCTCCTCCGACGCCTCTTCTCGCCGCCGGCGATGCTCCGGTCACAGGAAAAATACCGAAAAATTCCAGAAAAATACGAAAAATTCCAGAAAACTAAATTAAGCCTCAAAAAAATTCCAGAAAAATTCCAAAAAATTTGGAAAAATTCTAGAAAATTACTGATGCATAATTTAACCCTTACGGAGCTTCTTGAAGCTTCATAGCATCCTTTGATGAATATTACATGACTTTAATAAATACTTACAAATTGAAATACAATGGAAAAAATTAAATTACATCATTGAATTTTCAAACGACTAAATCAAAGCCCTAATTACATTCATCCAAAGATAAAATTACATTCAATATACCTGTAAGCTTCATCCATGGCCCAAAACACATATCATCATCCATTCACAATTATACATTCATCATCATGTATCAATATATATTAACATAATAAATCATACATCAACATACATCAATAAATATATATATGTATATATAATTTAGATCCATGAAGATGATTTTTATAAACACATGATCTCTAGTAATGAATCAAACCATGCTCTGATACCACTGTTGGGAAACATGCAAATTTTAAAAACTTTTGAGAGATTTGCAATCATGGATCTTAATTCATCACATAGAGACAAATTTTATACAAAAACAAATAAAAGATGATACATCATTCAATAAATAAATTGAATACTTACATCAAAGATCTGAGTAAACCTTTTAATCTTTCCTCTAAAGTGAATATTCTCATTTATTGTAGATCCCTTTAGCAAGATCATTTCTCCTTCTTCTTGATTATAATCTTCCCTTTAGAAATCATCAATATGCCTTGATGAATGACCTTGGAATCAAGGCTTGTGGTAGCCTCCTTTAGAAAAGAAAACAAACCCTAAAATCTAGAGAGAGAAAGTGTATTCCTTTTTCTTGTTCTCAAAGTCACATCCCAAATATACATGTACCCATGTATTTATATAGGCAAAATAAAAATAAGAAAAAGGAAATAATAAATCATTCTCCATCTCTAAATCAAATTTCTCAATTCTAATAGGACTCCAATATCAACTTGGGCTATTGGTGAGAATCATTTGAGCTTACTATTTTCTTGGCTCCTATAAATTAATAATTGGTCCGGTCCATTAAACCATGGACCCAATTCAATTAATTCATAAATTAATTTCTGCTCCACTAAAAGAAATTAATTGCACTCCAATTAAATAATAAATAACCTCTAAGTCAATGTTGTACTTTAACCCCTCTATGCATAATTATTTATTAGATAATTAAAGCCATCAACCCAACAACATAATTAAATTTAATTATTTTGCTACCTTAGATTATTTCCGGCTTAATCACAACAAAAATATTTACTTGACAAAAATAATAATTTACTAAATAAATATATATAGAAAATACTTGTCTAAAACATACGAAGGCCTTTGAATTAAATTTGTGATCAACCATAATCAAAACAAAATAAATACAAAAAGCACTGATGCAAATATTGAGATTATGGACCTTTAACTATTAATTACATAACTATCCAAAGTGCCGATTTAAGGATCCCGAGGTATCCGCCGAACAAATCAAAGTAATTATTAATTAATAAAAGAGTCTATACTTCTCTCATGCTTGAGAGTCAAAAGTCATGACTGTGATAGAGAGCAATTGCATACGACAGCTCTCACAATATATCGTAATCTATCGTGGACTCGATTCAAGTCTTAATTAATTAAATGTCCATCCATAATTACCGACTTTGAACCATTTATGATTACTAATTTATAACTTAGTATTAATTGCCATTATATACATATATAAATTTATCTTGTAATCAAGTGGACACAATCAATTCCATAATGAATCGAAAGATAATACATTTCATTCAGCAATTGTATAGTGCTTTAATAATAAAATTCAGATAAGGAACCATGACTTTTACAATCCAAAATAAGAATTTGCTATGCTAGGGCACACATATCCCAACAAAAACCCCATAATCTCCATCTCGTGCACAACTTCTATGGCTTCCTTAGGCCTCCGAGACTTTCCATAGACATCTAATAGCGCATTATAAGTTACTTTATCAGGCATAAAACCCGCTAGCTTCATCTCTCTGACCACCCGATTAGCTTCTTTATACAATGCCCCTCGGCGACAACAACTTATTAGAGTATTATAAGTATATGCATCTGGAGCAACCCCTGAATTCTTCATCCCCTCAAAAACTGCCATAATCTTATTCCACGACATACCCATTTTCCCATGAACATTCAAAATCACATTGTATGAAATCAATGTAGGTTTACAACCCTCTTCCTCCATTTTTTTGAAAACCATCAATGCATCCCTATACTTCCCATTTTTAGCAGAGGCAGTTATCAAGGAAGTATAAGCATAAACATCAATACCAAAACCATCTTTATGCAGATTATGAAGCAAATTAGCTGCCGATGAGACCTGACCCTCTTTGCCAAGAATGTTTATAATTACAACAACAACAGACCCACTCAACAGAAATCGAGAATCATTCTGATTCCGATTCCGAACCCAACTAAACACACTCATAGCCAGGTCACATTTCTTGTATATATATATATATATATATATATATATATATATATATATATACACGTACATGTATAGAGAGAGGAACAGAATTACTTGCAGATTTGTGAACTGCTTGCAAATTTGTTAGTTCGAATTCATAAAACTACTTAATATAACAACGTATATAAATATATATATATATATATATATATATATATACGTATATATATACAGGGATGCAGAGAAAGAAGGAACATAATTACTTGCCTTTGCAGCGCCAATAGCTCCAGTCCACCACCAGCTCATTTTATCGTTTCAGCTGGAGAAATCAGTTGTAGAAATGGAGATCTGTGAGTGAGTTTGTGTGTTTGGGGAAAGAGAAGAGGAGAGAAAAAATTGGAGTAGCTAACAGGAGACGAGTGAGGTTTTAAGAAAAGACTGTACAATATTTGTGGTGGGATTGTGTATTTAATTTTGCTTTTTGTTATGTATATATAATAATGTGGGGTCCACAATGTATTGCGTCACCCATGACATCAAGGTTTGAGGCTTACAAAGGATGATTGCATTTAGTGACTTCTTAGGGAAGCTAACCTTTGCGCCTATATAAGGCTATGCATGTGTACTGCTTTAATGTGTGTTGGAATAAAAGTTTTTCATTCCCTCTCTTACTCTCTCTTTCGTTATCTCTCTCTGTTTCTCTCTCCCTCTCTCTATGTGAAAGTTTCATTTCATTTATATAATAAATATTATCCTATAGATATATATATATACATATATTTATTATACGTCATCAGCACGAGCTTGGTCCATCTGAGATTTAAAGAAGAAGCTTTTTTTCTCTCTTTCTATCCCAACTATATATCTATTTTGTGATATTAGTTTTGATAGATTGTTGGGTTGGTTTGCTTTATTGAAGAAAATAGTATTTCTGACTTCAAAGGGTAAGAAAAATTTAATTATGAATTATTGTTCGTAAAATAAATTTGTTTACTTCAATGATGTATGTGCTTACACTATGGTCGGTTCTATCACCTTTATTATTTACTGATCCACTAATTATGGTCGGTTTTATCACCTTTATTATTTACTGATTTATGGCCGGTTTTACCGCCTTTATTGTTTAATAATTTATTTACTATGACTGGTTTTACCATCTTTATTATTTAAATAATTCATATTATGTTGTTATTTCATTTCACACCATTTATTTAAATACTATGCTAAATTATATTTTTATGTTGTTGTCACATCTAGTTATTCTGAAAATGTCAAACTTGACAAAGCTGGAATTCGTGGCCCTGGATATTTCTGGCAAAAATTATTTATCTTGGACACTAGATGCTCAGATCCATTTGAATGTCATGGGCCTTGGAGACACAATTAAAGAAGACAATGATGCATTATTACAAGATAAAGCAAAGGCCATGATTTTCCTCCGGCGCCATATTAGTGAGGAACTAAAAACTAAATACCTCACGGAAAGAAATCCACTTTGTTTGTAGAACAATTTGAAAGAAAGATATGATCATAAAAAAACAATGATCCTCCCAAAGGCCCGGGCTGATTTGCAGCAATTGCGGTTGCAAGATTTTAAAACTGTTGCTGAATATAACTCTGTCCTATTCAAAATCAGCTCTACATTGAAATTATGTGGTGATACTATTACTGATGAACTTTTGCTGAAAAAAACATTCACCACATTTCACGTCTCGAATGTGCTCTTACAACAACAATATCGAGAGCGTAGATTTAAAAAACATTCAGAGCTGATATCATGTTTGCTTGTGGTAGAGCAAAATAATGAGCTTTGTTAAGAAACCACTAGTCCCGTCCAACTGGATCGACACCGATCCCTGAAACATATGTTGTCTCATCCCGTGGTCGCGGACGTGGACGCGGTCGTGGTGGTAGAAATGAATATAGTCGTGGGAAAAATAACTACCACAATAATGAATATAGTCATGGTAGAAATCATTCTTATTATCGTGAAAGATATCAATCCTCACATTCTCGCAATCAAAGATCCACACCATATCCCCAAAAGAGAGATTATAATGAAATGAGACAAGTAAAAGGGAAGGATGCGGCTCAACCTCCTAAAGCACATGATAATACTTGTTATCGGTGTAGCATGGCAGGGCATTGGTAAAGTATTTGTCATACACCTAAACATCTGGTTGAACTTTACCAAGCCTCAATAAAATAAAAGAGGAAACAAAAGGAAATGAATTTCCTTGATCATGATGAGCCAGTTGACACCACAAATCTGAAAATGAATTTTATTAATCATGATGAGCCAGTTAACATCACAAATCTGGATGTATCAGATTTTTTTGAGGACCGTGATGGAAGGATAGACTTCCTAATTGGTGATGGAAATGTCTACACCAATTAATCTTATTTTCTTTTCATGTTCTGTCTACTATATTTTATTTTCCTTGTATTAAAGTTTTTATTTTCTAGTTTGTATTAAAGTTTCTTTTGTTATAAAAGTTTCTTTTCTGATAAGGAAATTTGTATGAATAGGAATGGATCTGACTAGTTCCAAAATAAATGGAGAAGATATATGTCTTGCAGATAGTGGAATTACACACACAATCCTTCGAGATCAAAAATATTTTTCTCACTTAACTCTGACAGACGCTAATGTCAGTACAATATCAGGTCCCACCGACTTGATTAAAGGCTTCGGAAGAGCCAACATCATTTTACCACATGGAACAAGATTATAAATCAATGATGCCTTATATTCTACAAGATCTCGGAGAAATCTGTTGAGTTTTAAAGACTTGAGTCGTAATGGGTTTCATATTGAGACCGCAAATGAAAGAAATGTGGAATATCTCTACATTACTTCCATTACCTCATTCAAGAAGCAGGTATTAGAAAAACTCCATGTTTTCTCCTCTGGGTTATACTATACAACCATTAGGACAATTGAGTCAAATGCTGTGATATATAAAAAATTATGTGACCCAAAACTTTTTATACTTTGGCATGATCGACTTGGTCACCCAGGGAGTACAATGATGCGTCGAATTATTAAAAATTCATATGGACACCTACTAAGGGATCAAAAAATCATCTTACCAAATAATCATCTATGCACCGCCTGCTCACATGGTAAGTTGATTATCAAACCATCCCCTTCAAAAGTCATTGTTGAGTCTCCCCCATTTTTGCAACGAATTCACGGGGATATATGTGGGCCAATTCATTCACCCTGTGGACCATTTCGCTATTTTATGGTCTTAATTGATGCCTCAACATGATGGTCGTATGTTTATCTGTTTTCTACCCGTAATGTTGCATTTGCTAGATTCCTTGCTCAAATCATCAAATTACGAGCACACTTTCCTGATTACCCAATTAAGACAATTCGTCTTCATAATGCCGCTGAATTTCTTCTCAAGCTTTTAATGATTTTTTGCATGTCAGTTGGAATTAATGTTGAACATCTTGTTGCACACACTCATACTCAAAATGGTATGGCTGAATCTTTTATTAAAAGACTTCAGTTAATTGGTCGTCATTTGCTTATGCGAACAAAATTACCTGTTTTTGCTTGGGGTCATGCCATATTACATGATGCATCATTAGTTCGTATACGACCAACTGCTTATCATAAATACTCACCATTGAAACTTGTTTTTGGTAAACAACCAAATATCTCTCACATACGAGTTTTTGGTTGTGCTGTATATGTTCCAATTACACCACCCCAACGCACTAAAATGGGTCATCAACGTAGACTTGAAATTTATGTTGGTTTTAATTCTCCATCTATTATTAGATATCTTGAACCCCTGATAGGTGATGTCTTTAAAGCACGATTTGCTGACTGTCATTTTAATGAGACTATTTTCCCACCATTAGGGGGAGAAAAGACACAGCAACAATGTGATCTTACTTAGAATGCCCTGAAATTGTCTCATTTTGATCCTCGCACAAACCAATGTGAGCGAGAAGTTCAGAGGATCATTCACTTGCAAAATGTTGCAAATCAATTACATGATGCATTTACTGATACAAAGAAAGTGATAAAATCACATATACCAACTGCAAAAATTCCAGCTCGAATTGCTGTCCCTGAGGGACCTTCTGTTAGTAATGCAACAAATGCATCTAAAACATGCCTAAAGCGTGGCAGACTAGTTGGTACAAAAGATACTGCTCCTCGTAAGAAGAAATCACAAAGAAAAACTGGCACTCCTGAAAAGGCCACCAAAGGAGCAACAGATATTATTAATCAATCTGAGACAATAGCCTTTGATAAGGCAGAAGCTCTTGATGAGTCTCAGGTACCTAAACATGATGAAATAATAAATATTGATGAGGTAAAGGCAACAGATGATGATGTGGCCCTTAATGAGGCACATGTACTTGATGAGGCAAAGGTACCTGAAAATGATGAGATTTCACTAAATTATGAAACGAGATGGAATAGAAATGAAATTGTTGTCGACAACATATTCTCATATCTCATTGCTCTTGATATTGATAAAGATGATCTGGAACCTCAAAACGTTGAAGAATGTCGACGAAGAAATGATTGGCCAAAATGGAAAGAAGCGATACAAGCAGAGCTAAATTCATTAGCTAAACGTGAAGTATTTGGACCAGTAGTCCAGACACCTGGGGTGTTAATCCTATTGGGTACAAATGGGTGTTTGTACGAAAGCGTAATGAGAAAATTGAAATTGTGAGATACAAAGCTCGACTAGTAGCTCAAGGTTTCTCACAGAGACCTGGTATTGATTATGAGGAAATATATTCCCCTGTGATTGATGCACCCACTTTTAGATTCATAATACATTTGGCACTCACAGAAAGATTGCATATACATCTAATGAACGTGGTTATAACATATTTATATAGATCACTGGATAGTGATATTTATATGAAAATCCCAGAAGGATTTAAAATGCTTGAAACAAAACCATGTAATATGTACTCAATAAAATTACAACGATCCTTATATAGATTTAAATAATCTGGACGAATGTGGTATAATCGCCTTAGTGATTACTTACTCAAAGAAGGGTATGTGAATAGTC